AAAATTATTATCTATTAATTTTAAACTAAATTAAAATTAAATAAAAAAATTAATTAATTTAAACAATCATGTTATATATAATATAGTACGTGTTCAATGTATAACAACAAAATGTGAATGACTCAGTGGTTTAAATGGTGAAAGTTATAATCAAGATTATAGGTTTTAGTTTGCGAAATTAAAAATAGAAATATTAAAATTTAAGATTATATATATATATATATATATATATATATTATAGATGTTGATGTAACTTTTATTATTATACTATTTAATAAGTTTATATTAAATGTGAATTTTGTCAATTCAGCCATTAAATTATAACTTCATATTATTTTGTATGTTCATGTTAAATTTTATAAAAATTGAACAACAATTAAAAGGAAATTAAATTATTCATATTTTAGTGTATTATAAAATGTATATATCGTGCCAATTCTGATTCATATGAATTAGATATTAAGTCATTTTGGGTTAATATAAAATTTTGCATATATAATCTAAAAGCGGAGAACTTTCAATTTAATAGTAATTTTTAAAAATAATCATTTAATACAAAGTTATTGAATGGTGTAATAATTGATAAAAGTTATATCCATATCATTTGATCCCTCCTCGTATATGTATTAAGGAGAGATTAAATTACTTCAAGAGTAACTCAAAAGTTACTTCACTAAATAACTCATCGTGCATATTAAATTTTTACGATTAAATCGTTAAATTAAAAGTTTCTAACATATAAATCAAGTTAATAAAATTTTTAAAAAATTTTAAAATATTTTATACTTCATTTCATTAATTCAAATTGATGAATAATCATAAAAACGTTTTATATGTTAATTTGAATTTATATAACGAAGTATTATATAGTTTTTAATTTTTTTTAAAAAAAATAGACTTAAATATACATTAAGAAATTTTAATTTAATATTTTGATTGTTGAAATTAAACATACATTATAAGTTATTAAGTAGAGTAACTTTAACAAGAGTTATTCTTAGAATAATTTGATCTCTCCCCTATATAAGGAAGGATTCACTTTTCCAAAAATAAGTTTTGATACACTTACTTTACTCAACAATTCTTATTTTATATTAAATTTTAACGATTCAAACGTTAAATTAAAATTTATTAATATATTAATTAAATCTATAATATTTTAAAATTTTTAAAAATCATATGATATTTCGTTATATAAATTTAAATTAAAATATTTAATAAAATAAAGTATTAAATAATTATTAATTTTTCAAAAAATTATAAACTTGATTTTTGGATTAAAATTTTTTAATTTAATAATTAAATTATTAAAATTTGATATAAAGCATGAATTATTGAGTATAATAAGTATTCATAAGTAAATATATTTTATGAATATGATCTACGTGAAAAAATATATAATAAAATATTTGTAATTTTTATATTAAATTGAAAGATGCAGAACAAGACATGACACATTAAAATCGAATACACATTCTAGCAGGAACGACGCAAGAAAATCCTTTGAGATCGTTTTAATGAAAAGTAAAGTAATTGTTAAAATCAACTAATAAATTACATCAGCAAGAACGTTTTTAAAGAAAATAAATGCTTGAAAGGAACTTTGATCAATAATTCAGCTTCTAGATAGAAAAAGATACAATACTCCAATATCTAGTCGTTTCATGTAAACTTTCTTTTTGAATGCTTCAAATTAAACACATGTTCAAGCCCCTCTTATAATTATGACGATAAATGTTATTAATTATCAAGCTATAGTTTCAACAGTAGGAGTAAAACTTAAACCAAATGGATTTGTTTACAGCTTTTATTTTTCTCCAAACGATAGAGCAAGCTCGAACCCTTCATTATTCTTACATAACAAATAGATTTCACTACCCAAAAAAGTTAACAATATATTTTGATATGGACTTTTACATAATAATCATGAGACGTTTTGTTTCAGTATAAAACTTCTGCTTGTAATTTAAATTTCATTATCACAGATTATTTATCTTCTAACTTAATGAGTATTTTTAATAAAAAAATTATTATAAAAAAAATATTATGGTAAAATTATAAGTAGAATTGGTTGGCAGTCACAAAACTTTTTATCCAATAAAATATCTAACAAGTTGTACGCTTTTAGATGCAATAAATACAAAAAGCAGGTAAAGTTTGTTTGTTTAGCATGGCAAAACGAAGGCTCACGTTATCGTTTAGCCCTCCCCCACCTACAGCCTAGGTTAGGATTGAAAATTCAAAAATAAATAAATTACTACCTCTATTCTTATTTATAAAATTCAACATATTACTTTCATTCATATTTAAAATATTTACTTTTTCTTTTACATAAATCTCAATTTATATTATCTTATATATTAATTATTTTTAAAATAAAATATTTTATTTAAAATATATTTTTTAATTTAGTAAAATATATTAATTATAAATTTTTTAAACAATATACACTTTAATTGATTAGGAGAAATAATATTAAAAGATATATAAATATTAATTAAAAAAGATAAGTAGTATAAGAGTAATTTTAAAAGACTATATATATATATATAATACAAGTAAATTATTATCAACTAAATTAACTATTTTTCTCCTCTCAAAAAAAATTAA